CAAGGAATTTAGAAGGAAATAGGTTAGAAGTAGAGGAAAGTAAGTATGAGGAATTTTTCAACCAGGAAAATAATTTCCTGGATGAGTTGATAAATGCTGCCGATGCTATAGATAGCATGCGGCAAGTACTTGAGTTATTTAATGGTGGAATTATTATAATTGAAGAAAAAAGTGGTGTAAACACTGTTAAGTTACCTAAAGTGGTTCTTCCTACATATGATGGGAATCCATTACAGTGGGAAGGATTTTGGGAAAATTTTGTAGTTTCAATAGAAAATCAGAATTTATCTGATGTACAGAAATTCTCTTATTTAAAGGGATGTTTTTTAGGAAAAGCTAGGGAATTCATTGAAGGCTTAGAATTAAATAATCGTAACTACCAAACGGCAAAAGAAATTTTGAGTGATAGGTTTGGTAATAAACGGTTGATTAAGAGGGCATTATATAGTCAGCTTGAATTTTTACCTTACTGTAGTAATTTAGCCACTAACCTCAGAGAGTTTGTGGTCAAAGTAGATAAGGTTGTAAGGCAGTCAAAGAGTAGTGGTGAAAATATTAGTCAGGAAATGATTCTAATAGCTATAGAGAAGAAATTGCTACGACAAGTGTTAAGTGAGTTAAAAAGTGATAAGGAAAAAAGAGTAGGTAATAATAATCAATGAAAGTCATTAGGAGATACTGAGCAATTATTAAGAGATCTAGAAAGGTATGTGAAAATTAGAGAAGAAACTGATGCATTATCAGTAAAAGAAGATAAGAGAGATTATAAGTTAAGAGAGGGTGGAAAGAAGGACTATAAAGCAGTTGTGAATAATGTGAAAACGAATAATGTATACCGTTGTTGTACATTTTGTGGACAGTCAGCATTATAACAATATATGTACTGTCTATCCTTCTTTCTCTGATTGTCTTAAACGTCTCTCACAATGGAATTTTTGCTTTAAAAGCCTTTAAAAGGGGTATAATCGAAAATTTTGTAATTATTCAAGACAGTGTTTTTATTGTAAAAGTAAAAATCATAATAGAGCACTGTGCAATCAGTCAATGAAAAATAAACAATTTAAAATTACTTTTGAACAAAAATTAAATATATGACTTGAAATAATAAGTGCTAA